ATAGCAGATCACTCAACGACTCATCCCACAACAGAAGGAATAAGAAGCACTAACTTGTCCACGTACAGATAATGTTCCCTGTACAACCTCCTGGCCAGCAGAATCTCAGCCATGGTGAAAATCCCAGTATCATGGGTCAATGTCCTGTGGCCTAACTTCATCTCCCCTTGCCAAAAGTGAGAATTAAGGAGGAATAAAAAAATCCCTGAAACACTAACAGCAAGACCCTGATGTTCTAATAAAGATAAACAATTTCACAGAACAGTAGCATCCAATGAGGTCAGCCTGGGACCAAGACAGAGTAAGATAAAAGGGAGATCCCTCTGAACTTATGTCTGAGCACAGAAACAAGAATCCTGGGAAGCTATGAAAACAATCAGACGTCTTCCTCTCTCGGCTAACAGGAATGGCCATTGCCTTTTTACCAATTACATCTTTAGTTCCACTTCTTAAATAAAAATTAAGGGCCGGCCCGGTGGCGCACTGCTACAGTGAGCCGCTTGGGAGCGCGGCAGCGCTCCCGCTGAGGATTCGGATCCCACATACAGACCGGTTCCCGCTCACTGGCTGAGTGAGGGGTGGGCACAGCACCGAGGGAGGGTTGCGATCCCGTTGCCGGTCCCGGTCCGGTGCGGGCGTGACACTGAGGGTTGCGGTCCGTTGCCGGACACGAAAAAAGGAAAAAAAAAAAATTAAGTTATCCATGAAAATAGATACGCACAGATCCATGCACAGACAGATTTACTGCCTGGCAGTGTCCGGTCTGGAAGAGCACTTTCCTTCTCTAAACATCCCCCCAAGTTACCTATCACAGGCTCACGTCCTGAGAGCTTGCTGGCTTCCCCAGGTCACGTGGGCTCCTTGGCTGTCGTGAGTGACACAGGCAAATTTGTTCCACTACAGAGGTGTTCCTGGGGAGCTTTGGCTGGTGGCAGTGACACCACCAAGAGCTACATTAACTCATTTGATCCAAAAATGATCAAAGTCCATGGAATACAGAAGAAATTATAAACAGAAATAATAATTATTACGCACCAGACACGTGCCAGAAGATATTTTCACGTTCGTCTTTATTTCACACGGGAACTCTATGAAAGCATCATTAGTCAGTTTACATTTGGACGCACGAAGCTTGGAGAGTATAACAGACTTGCTCAAGGTCATTTTTATGTCACATCTATATCTGCATATATTTTAAGGCGTTTTAGCTAATAAATACTAAAGCTGAAATTCATTTTTCGGTCTCCAGCTCTCAGCCCCTTTCCTCTATAACACGATTCCTCCAATTTTGATTGCACTGTCCCAACCAGATCCCAGAGCAAATTCCTATGACTGTCCTCAGGGAAGCCTCAATGCAAATCCAAGAGATTTGTTAGACTTACTGGAGGGATTCCACAGGGAAAGAGAGCCAGCTGGTGGTCAGGGGAAGTACGGTGCTCAGAAGAGTGCTGCTGGGTGGGAGGACATGGAGGAAGTGTACTGGGAGATGGGGAAGGAAAAGGGAGCAGCCTGGAGCTGCGGAAGGAGAAGCAAACTGGTTCCTGCATTCCATGTCTCTTCTCTTTCCACAGTTCTGAGGAATCTCTCTGAACACACTAAACATCACCCTTCCACGCGCGGTCACAACCCTTCCCTCTCGGCCTCCCGATGATGAGTGAAGGGTGCACAATGATCCCCTCTCCTTCTGGCGTCGTCCATTTCTCCCACAGGGAAGAGCTTTCCCATTAGCCTCCAACCCAGATGCCAAGGTCAGGTACAGATTTGATTCCATTTACCTGTGCCCTTCAAAGCAGAATTCCCCAAGAGATTTGCCACGATTCCCACTTTCTCTTTAACCAGCATAATCATGATTCTTTCCCACTGCACCAGGAAAACAGCTTTTATCAAATGTATGGCTACAGCTCAGATCAATCCCTCGTCCCCACCCCACTCAGTACCTAAGGAGCCATCAACACAGGTGACGCTTCTTGAGGTTTCTCCCACATCAACTCACTAGATCCTTCTGTCTCACCAGGCACTCGTCTTCTCTCTTTGGCTGAACCCGCCTCTGCTCCCGGCTCTTTGAGTGTTACACGCTGCAGGTCTCGGGCCTCAGTCTTCAGTTCTCCAGCTGTGCTCTCTCCCTAGGCAATCCCATCCACGCTTGCTGCTTTAGGTGATATTACACCGTCTCCCAAATCTCCCCATTTCTAGTCTTCAGTCTCCAGCTGTGCTCTCTCCCTAGGCAATCCCATCCACGCTTGCTGCTTTAGGTGATATTACACCGTCTCCCAAATCTCCCCATTTCTAGTCTTGTAAATCCACCTGCTGACTCATCGTCTCCCTTGTCTAACAGGCATCCTACGCATGAAAAAACTCCTGATGAACCTTTCTCCACTCTACCTGCTCCGTCCCGCGTCCCCGTCTAAGGAAATGATGCTGCCACCCTCTCAGCTGCTCAGCCTGAAAGCCTTGCAATCACCTCGATCCCCCCTTTGCCCCACACTCACGTGCCGTCCATCAGCAAGTCCCATCGGCTCTACCTCCACAACCCGTCCCAAACTGGCCATGTCGCCTCATCGCCACCTCTCACACCCAACCCCACCACCCTCGGCTGCCACCTCTGCTAATGCAACAGCCTCTGGATGCGTCTCCCACCGTCCGTTCAGGCCCCCAGCACCCTCCCACAGTTCATTCGCCTCACCACGGCCAGAGGCAGCTTTACAGACACACACGTGTATGCGTAATATCGAGTTTCTGAAAAGATGTTCAATCTCAACAAGCAACTAAACGTTTTTAAATTACAACAACACATTGCTCAGTGTAATGCTTGGCACAGAGTGACTACCCAATGAATATTTATTGTATACATGGGAAACAATTTTTCATTTATCAATTGGCAAAAATTTTTAAAGATAGATTCACAGTATTGGCAAGGGTTCACAGAAATGGCACTCTATACACTTCTGAAGAGATTGTGCATTTTATCAGCAAATTAGTCTCAAAAGTCTCTGAAATGTCCACTTACTTGAGCAAGCACATTCATAGTTAAATTTTTAATTTAAGGATTTAACTAAGGATGTATACAAAGTTGTAGCTTCTGCATCTTTGATGCAGCCAGATGAGACCTTCAGAAACTAGTTGGCATCCTGGTTTCTTGGTTTGTTTTTTCCTGCATCTCTGGATTGGGTCAGAGGGTTAAGAAAAGGCATTTTGTGTGTGTGTTACACAGGAAGCTTTGCCAGACCTTTGTCCTAAGAAAGACCAGTGTTTTCCAACTTTGACTTGATTTCACTGGTCTGGGGAGAGGTCCAGGAAGGATATCTTTAAAGCTCCCTAGGCAGTCCTCAAAGTAGTGAGCTTAGAAGGGTCGACCTGGGTTTTGCTCACCCACAGTGGAAGGGCCATTCTCCAGGCTGCAGTTCTCTGGGAGGAGCCCCCAGGTGGCCACACCTGTGATGGGTGTGGCTGGGTGGGACCTAGCAGGGGATGCACCCTGTGCCACAGAGTTGACAGGAGTGCCAGGGCTCCTGGGGCCAGGCCAGCAGTCATTAGGGTAAGGCCCCTTGCATTCTGAGTTTATATAACAAACCTCTTTTCCATAAAGTAATATTGTAAAGGGAAACTTTTTTCAGAGTCGGTCCAGATTGCCACAATATCCAAAATCTAGTATCTAGATTTTCTATGAAGATTTTAGAATATTGCCTATCACACAATGGTCTGAATGTTTGTGTGCCCCCCAGATTCATCTGTTGAAATCCTAATCCCCAATGTGATGGCATTAGGTGGTGGGTCTTTGGGAGATAATTAGGTCATGAGGGTAGGTCCCTAATGAATGGGATTAGTGCCCTAAAAAAAGCACCACTCGAGAGTACAGTGAGAAGACAGCCATTTGGAAACCACGAACGGGGCCTCACCAGAGACCAAATCAGCCTCCAGAACTGTGAGAAATAAATTTTTGTTGTTTAAGCCACCCGGTCTATGGTATATTTGTTGCAACAGCCCGCACAGGCTAAGACACGGGCAAGTGTTCTCTTTTCTGTTCAATAAAGTGGGTGAGAAGAAAATGAGATAAATTGCAAAGTCCTTTATTCACATTAGCTGGCAAAATTTTTCAGGTTAGAATTGTCAAAAGGTATGAATTAGACAGTTTCTTCTTCCTCTTGCCACCTTGCCTTCCTCCACGCACTCGCCATACCCTGCCTTGCATTCGCGTTCCAGCCTGAGCTCACCTACGGAGATGCAAGGTGGGGGCCTCTGCACCCCTGCACATGCTGCTCGGGGAAGGGCAGCATGGGGACCACGGTCAGCTCCTGCTTTTCCCTCCTCTGCCCACTCCTACCACTAGCACGTCTTCCCTAAGCACGAGTCAGGGCCAAGTGTAAGAGCACGGTGACCCCTTGGCAGGAGGAACATAAATGCCTGGAATTAGGACAAAAGTCTCCAACACCTGGGTCCTTTGCTCTCCCCCACCTGGGTCCTTTGCTCTCCCCCATCTGGGTCCTTTCCTCTCCCCCACCCAGGTCCTTTGCTCTCCCTCACCTGGGTTCTTTGCTCTCCCCCACCCGGGTCATTTGCTCTCCCTCACCCGGGTCATTTGCTCTCCCTCAACTGGGTCCTTTGCTCTCCCCCACCTGGATCCTTTGCTCTCCCCCACCTGGGTCCTTTCCTCTCCCCGACCTGGGTCCTTTGCTCTCCCCCACCCGGGTCCTTTCCTCTCCCTCACCCGGGTCCTCTCCTCTCCCCCACCTGTGTCCTCTGCTCTCCCCCACCTGGGTCATTTGCTCTTCCTCACCTGGGTCCTTTCCTCTCCCTCACCCGGGTCCATTGCGCTCCCCCTCACCCGGGTCCATTGCGCTCCCCCACCCGGGTCCTTTCCTCTCCCCCACCCGGGTCCTTTGCTCTCCCCCACCCGGGTCCTTTGCTCTCCCCCCACGCGGGTCCTTTGCTCTCCCCCCACGCGGGTCCTTTGCTCTCCCCCCACGCGGGTCCTTTGCTCTCCCCCCACGCGGGTCCTTTGCTCTCCCCCCACGCGGGTCCTTTGCTCTCCCCCCACGCGGGTCCTTTGCTCTCCCCCCACGCGGGTCCTTTGCTCTCCCCCCACGCGGGTCCTTTGCTCTCCCCCCACGCGGGTCCTTTGCTCTCCCCCCACGCGGGTCCTTTGCTCTCCCCCCACGCGGGTCCTTTGCTCTCCCCCCACGCGGGTCCTTTGCTCTCCCCCCACGCGGGTCCTTTGCTCTCCCCCCACGCGGGTCCTTTGCTCTCCCCCCACGCGGGTCCTTTGCTCTCCCCCCACGCGGGTCCTTTGCTCTCCCCCCACGCGGGTCCTTTGCTCTCCCCCCACGCGGGTCCTTTGCTCTCCCCCCACGCGGGTCCTTTGCTCTCCCCCCACGCGGGTCCTTTGCTCTCCCCCCACGCGGGTCCTTTGCTCTCCCCGACGCGGGTCCTTTGCTCACCCCCACCCGGGTCCTTTGCTCACCCCCACCCGGTCCTTTGCTCTCCCCCCGCCCGGGTGCTTTGCTCTCCCCCCCGACCTCGGTGCTTTGCTCTCCCCCGCGCCCGGGTCCTTTGCTCTCCTCCACCTGGGTCCTTTCCTCTCCCTCACCCGGTTTCTTTGCTCTCCCTCAGGCTTCTGAGAGGGGCCTGGAGGCAGCTCCAGGTGAGCTGCCCCAGGCTCCAAAGAGACGTGGGGCTGTGGACAGGCCAGGCCTGCTCAGGCACTGAGGCGCGCTCTTGCCTGGACAGCCTGCAGGCTCTAGGTGGGACCCTCCTTGTCACCAGATGCCGAGCTTGGACACGACCCAAGTCAAAGGGCTGCTGGGCCTGGCGATTGCTGTGCCTGGAGTCAGAGGAGACTTCCTCTTACCACGTTCATCTACCTGGGTCAGGGGAGGAGCAGCCGGTCTGCTCTGGTTCCTAAACATCAAAGTTTTGGCTAGAAAACCAAGTAATTTATACTCCGTAATCCAGGCATTTTAAGTGTCAACTTTATATGTTCAAGGATGGAGATTTTTTTTTAAGATTTTAAGAATTCGTCATGGGATAGAAAGGGACATTTTTGTTGCTGGGGGATATATTAATTTCTTATCACTGCTTTAACAAATTCTCACAAACATAATGGCTTAAAACGACACAAATGTATTATCTCGCAGTTTGGCAGGCCAGAAGTCAGAAATGAGTCTTACTGGGCTAAAATCAAGGTGTCAGCAGAGCCGCGTTCTTTCTGGAGGCTCCTGGAGAGAATCCGTGTCCTTGCCGTTTCCAGCTCCTACACGCCTCCCACGTGCAGATGCCTGCGTTCCTACATTTCTTGGCTTGCAGCCCCTTCCTCCATCCTCAAAGCCACCAGCAGAGCATCTTCAAATCTCTCTCTGACTCTTCCACCTCTTCTGCCTCCTTCTTCCACCTTAAAGGAGCCTCAGAATTACATTAGACAACTCGATAATCCAAAATGATTTCCTGATTTTAAAGGCAGCTGATTAGCAACTTAAGTTCTTCTGCAACCTTAATTCCCCTTGCCTTGTAACGTGACATATTCGCAGGGGCTGGAGATTAGGATGTGGACTCTTTTGGAGGGTCATTATTCTTCCTACCACAGCGAGCATGCAAAACTTTGCTCTCACTGCTAAGTGAATGATGACCCTACTTACCTACAGATGAGTCTTCAAACTTCAAAAGAAGGCTGGAGACCGTGGCCTCAGGCTGCACACAAGGGGCAAGGCTCCTCGGCATAATCCAGGCACCTTCTTGTGACTGTGGCCAGGGTGGTCAGGAATCAGCGTTGCTCTTATTTTTTTGAAATCCAAATATTTAGGTGACTAAGTTGGCATGGCCAGAGCCCGGATAGGTATTTGAACCTCAGACAAAAGGTAGGTCTGAGTCTACTTGAAGCAATCAGGAAGGAGAAGGCCAGAGCTTGCGTTCACAGGCCATCTGAGAGTCAAAGTTGAGGAAACAAAGTTCAAACACCAAATCCATGCAACGAAAGCAGGGCTAACCCTGCGAGACCAAGTCCACGGCAGAAGCCAGGTGTAACTGGGATGGACCTGGGAATGAGCATCCAACATTGAGTCCCCTGAGCTAAAGCGTTACTGCGTGCCTACTTGCCTGTTGGCCTCATGGTGTTTGGGCAGGTCAGCCTGGCTTAAAGGCACAGGGTTTGGCTGACATCATTTTTTTCAGAGGTGAAATTAAAACCACATCATTGTTTTGAGTTATGTTTGTTTTCTCCCACAAATTAAAGAAGCTCAGTAGTTAGAACAGGAAACTCAGCCGCACGTCCATGAGCAATCCTAACGTGGAAGTAACATTTGGAGCTACTGGCTGGGGCCCCCGGCCACCCACCCCAGCATCTTTTCAGGTTACGCACTGTAGTGCTTTCAAACTGAGGATAAGTGAAATGGAAGCCCGGCATCTAATGCACGCCACTCATACCTTTCCAAACAACTCTATATTCCGTTGAGTCCCCTTCCACCTGGGTATCATCGCGCATTTTCTTTCCTGCAATATGGAGGTGCAGGTGAAGGAACAGAACACGATCGGAGTGAGGCACAGAAACCTCTGGTTTATCCCACTGCTGCTCAGAGAAAAGAGCTTTAGTGTCCAGTCTGCTGACTAAGGTGCTTCCTAGATTTGAGGGAAAAAAAATACAGCAGATTTCATACTAAAATGTTATCTAAGTTTATGTCTTTTTTTGTTGTTATTATTAAAGCTCCAAAGAACTCTAATATTTAGCCATAATTTCTACACAGATGTAAGGCAGGAAAAATAGAATGGAAAAAAAGCAAACAAGAAGAAATAAAGGTTGTTGCACAGCAGAGATGAGCCCAGGTGTGTGTCACATGCTCTTCCATACACCTCTCACAAAAATCCTGGACGAGAGCAACTGCTCTGCCCGTCCCAGGGAGCACCTGAGGCTCCCTCACAGCATCAGTGACTTGCCTGCAGTAATCTTCAGAGCACATGCCTGCAGGCCTAAGAATCCTTTACATTTTAGCCAGTAAACAGTAAGACTAAAACACACGTGTAGTTCTCTCTGATCTCCTATATCTTCTCGTTTACTACATGATACCTCCAAATATTACTTTTATGTTGTTATTTTTCCAACCAGATTCCACAGCAAAATTCTGAATGTCCTCCACGATGGCTTCAGCACAAATACAAGAGACACGTCAGACTTGCTGGTGGGCTTCTAGAAGGGTAGGAGCTGGCTGGTACCGAGTAGTTCTAAGAAGGAGCATCAGGGTTTGTGGGAGGTTAGGAGTCCCAGTGGGAGACGGAGAAGAGGGAGCAGACGTGGGCAACCAGAGGAGGAGGATCCTAGAAACGGCCTCAAAGGCTCATATGTTTCTAAGGCAGCAGTCGAAACCCTGGAAATGTATCCTAAGAAATAATTTAGCAAATGATATATAAATACAAACATACACAAAAAAAGTTCATTATGACATATTTATAAAGATTTGGAAATATCATATAAGTCCAAGAATATGGAAATAAACTGGCCAATTTTAGACCTCCCTATCATGCCAATGATATTCTTAAAGTATAATGCTTAAGTATTTAAATATAGAAAAATGCTTATGATATCAGATTCAGTTTTTTAAAGTAGACAACAGAGATGCTGGGAAAAGATTATTACAAAACCTGTGTGAAAGGCAGTGCCTAGGGGACGGCCCGGTGGCGCACTGAGCTAGTGCGCCGCTTGGGAAGCGCGGCGGCGCTCCCACCGAGGGTTCGGATCCCACATACAGACCGGTTCCCGCTCACTGGCTGAGCGAGGCGCAGGGGCAACACCGAGGGTTGCGATCCCGTTGCCGGTCCCGGTCCGGTACGGGGGCGACACTGAGGGTTGCGATCCGTTGCCGGACACGGAAAAAGACAAAAAAAAAAAAAAAAAGAAATGAAAGGCAGTGCCTAGGGGACGGCGGGCGACACTGAGGGTTGCGATCCGTTGCCGGACACGGAAAAAGACAAAAAAAAAAAAAAAAAGAAATGAAAGGCAGTGCCTAGGGGACGGCGGGCGACACTGAGGGTTGCGATCCGTTGCCGGACACGGAAAAAGACAAAAAAAAAAAAAAAAAAAGAAATGAAAGGCAGTGCCTAGGGCTGCTGGGAAGAACTGGCTTCTGCTGCTAGGTCAGTCCCCACCTGCAAGGGAAAAAGTGACCCCCTGAGCTAGGTGCTCTGGCTGCCACAGGCAACATGACACCTCACAGCCCCCGAGGCCTGGAAGCCTGCCCGGCTGTCCTGAGCTTCCAGCCGAGAGAGAGCTGGCACCTGCCCCTCACCCACGCCACTCCCCTCAGTCTCCTGCCCTCCTCACCTCAGAAAAAGATGTCACCACCCCTCACCTGCTCATCCTGAAACCTCCAAGTCCCTCTTGGTTTGCCTCTGTCCCTCACAGCCCACGTGCATCCATCAGCAACTCCGATCAGCTCCGCCCCCCCACAATCGCAGTCTGGCGTCCTCTCACACCCTCATTACCCCGACAGCCTCTGGAGACCTCCTGTCCTCCTCCCTTCCGGCCCCCCAGTCCCTGCCACTGTCCATTCTCACCATGGCAGAGGGAGGTTTATAAAAAAGAAGCACAATTAGGCACTGGGTATATGAAAAGATCTCAATAGGGAACTAAGCAGTTTCAAATTAAAGTAACTCTGGTGTAGTAACTGGCATACAGTGAACAAGTGGTAAATATTTATTGAACACATGAGAAACTATTTTTTGTCTGCCAAATTGACAAAGATTTTAAACTGAAAATTCCCAGAATTGAAAGGGCTCAAATGGCTGCACTCTTTTCACTTGTAGTGAAATTGTGAATTTTATTGAGAATGTCAAAAAAAAGTCTTGAAAACATCTAATAATTTCATATCTAAAATTTTAATCTAACAATTTAAGTAAGAAAGCAAATTTGTAGCCACTGCATCTTGTCAACAACAGGCTGAAATATTGAGAAATGACACTTTTTAAAAAATTGTACATACTTGTGGGGTATAGTGTGTTGTTTTAATACATGCACATACAGTACAATGATTCACCAAACATGTATCTTTTCCTGGGGGTGATTATGGTCCAGATCCTCTTTTCCACCTATTTAGAAATGCGTGTCCTGTTTGCTCATTTGCTTGTCTTTTCTGGCTGCTCTAGGTTACTCCAAGAGGAGGGGAATGGCTTTTGTCTTTCTCCCACAGGAGCACATTGTCAGGCCTTTGTCCTAGGGCACTGGTTGTTAACCTTGGCTGCATTTAGAATCATCTAGAAAGTTTTGATATATGCCATTACCCAGGTTCTATACCCAGAGATTCTGATTCCATTTAGTCTTGGGTAAGGCCCAGACAGGGTATTTTTCAAGTCCCTTGGGGGGATTCTTACAGCATCAGACTGAGAGGGACAGGCCCAGGCACTCTTCAACCCCCAGGAGAAGGGGGCTTCTTCGCTTTGCAGGTTTCTGACAGGAGCACCCCAGAGATGGCCAGATCCTAGATGGACACAGCTGCATGGTGCCCAAGGAGGCTAGAAACCAAGCCCATGAACTTGAGAACAGTGATAAGGAGCCCTGTGGCCAGGCCAGCTGTCAACAGGGAATGTCCCTGCAATTAGCCTACTGTGAGCTTACTCAGGCAACGTGGCCAGAAATAGGTCCAAGTGGTAAGAGTGGAGATGGTGCCCAGAAAAGTCTAATGGACAGACTGCAAGAGCATGTGCAGACCTCTACAGCTGCAGGCATC